ATATAAATGAAGGCAGAATGTGGGAGAAACTCCTTGGGACTGGCAGCATTTGCAACCATATCCAGAATTGTCAAGTGGATGATCCCAGGCCTTCTCATGAAGGCATCCACATCACAGATGCCAGTCTGAATCCAATTCATTTCACTCCAGGTGATACCAAGAAATGGCTGAGGACAAGACCAGTGGACCTAGACAACAACCTGGCATTAGTACTGAAGACTTATACTCCTGAACTGGCCATGCCCCTAGTCATGCCGTTTAATTATAGCTACAACGCTGACATTTACCTGACAATCAGGAAAATTGCCTATATGCGCTGTCCATGAGAAACAGGATATATCCAGTCCTGCCTACGACTCCCTCATTAGTCTATTCTCAGAAAAATAATGGAGGGCGCCATTACAATGCTATGTAGCTGTCAGGATTTGTTTATTAACTCTAACTGCCCAGAGGATAGTTAAGAGTCAACTACATTGCTACAGATCTGGAGTCACATGTATATCAGACCAGACAAGAATGGCAGATACCCTTCCCTAAAGGACAGTAGTGAATCAGGTGTGTTTTTACAACAACCAATGGTTACCAATGAGCCTAACTTTTTAATCCAGATTTTGTAATGAATTCAGATTTCACCATCTGCTGTGGTGGGATTCTAACCCATATCCCCAGAATATTAAGGAAAGGTTCTGGATTATTAGTCCAGTGACTTTACCAGTACACTACTACCTTCCCCATTGTGCCAAACAGGTACAATGGCATCTCTAAACAAGAGAGAATCTAACCATTTCCCCTTGACGTTCAGCACCATTATCATGACTGAATGCTCCACTATCAGCATCTGGGGGATTAACATTGACCAGAACTTGAACTGTATTGTCTAAATAAGAAGTTTAGCGAGAAAAGCAGCTTGGGAGACTGGATGTTATGCAGTGAGTAACTCATTTCTCAATTCCCCAATAATAGTCCACCATTCACAAAGTACAAGTCAGGAGTCTCCCCAGTTGCCTGGATGAGTGCAGCTCCAATTAATGCAAGAAGTTCAAACAATCTATGGCAAAGCAGTCCATGTGATCGGCACCTCATCAACCACTTTAAACATTCACTGCCTCCACCATTGATTCACAGTGGCAGCCTGTGTACCTTCTCCAGATGTACTTCAGTAACTTGCCAAGGTGCCAACCCACAATCAGTATCATCTAGAAGGACAGGGGCAGCAGATACATGGGTACACCACCACCTCCAAGCTATTCATTGTCATGATCTGGAGCTATATTGCTGTTCCATCCTTTTCGTTACAGCACTGTGGGTGTGCCTACACCCCAAAGACTGCAATGGTTCAAGAAGGTGGCTCACCATCACTTTCACCAGGGCAATAAGGAATGAGCAATAAATGCTGGCCTAACCAGCTGCAGTAAATCCTCATTAAAGTCGTAGTTCCTGAAAATCGCAACTTTAAGTGAAACAACTTTAAATGGATCAGAGATTTCCATCTACATGAATGTTTAAGATGTCGTTAGTTTCCTTTGGATATTTCTCACTTGGAAAGAAACAGGGTGCAAGCTCAAATCGTGTACCTAACAAATCCAGAGCCATGCATTCCTAGCTGAAATATCTTTAAAGATCAAATTCGTAACTACATATAAAAGAAATACAGTACAGGTATGCAATCTTAAAAAATACTCACCTTCTAATCCATTTGCATAGACTAGGCTCCATCTAGTGTTAGTAGTTAGTCAGTACAGGAACTGGCCCCGGACTAATCTAGAGACAGGCCAGGCATTGAGCCCAGTGAGAAGGTGAAGGCAAGGGATCAAATCAAGAGTGGAACATAGAACATAGAACAGTACAGGCCCTTCGGCCCACTCTGTTGTGCCGAACTTTTACCCTAATCCTAAATTCTATCTAACCTCCACCTATGCCTTATACTATCATCCATATGCCTATCTAATAGCTGCTTAAATGCCCCTAATGAGGCTGACTCCACTACCCTCTCCGGCAATGTTGGTTTTGGGGTAGGCAAGGCCCAGGGAGTAACAGGATACAAGCAGCATGGGCAGGGTGTGTTGAGGGTTGCAAGTTGCAAGGTATGGACAGCAGGTAGGTCAAGACCAGGAACAAGGACAGAAAGCAAGGATGTGAGAGGATGGAGGCCAGTAGGTTGGGGAAGAAGAGGAGCTAACGGAGAGACAGGAAGGGCAGCACAGTGGCTCAGTGGTTAGCACTTTTGCCTCACATCACCAGGAACCCTCGATTCCACCCTCGGGCGACTGTCTGTCTGAAGTTTGCGCATTCTCCCCATGTCTGCGTGGGTTTCCTCCAGGTGCTCCGATTTCCTCCCACAGTCCAAAGACGTGCAGGGTAGGTGGATTGGCCATGCTAAATTGCCCGTAGTGTCCAGGATGTTGAGGTTAGATGGGTTAGACATGGGGAAATGCAGGGGTAGGGGAATGAGTCAGGGTGGGATGCTGTTTGGAGGGGCAGTGTGGACTTGTTGGGCCGAATGGCCTGTTTCCACACTGTAGGAATTCAATGAAATGCTGGTGGAAAGGTCATGTGAGCAGCCAGGCAACCGAACTGGCAGTCTAGAAAGCAATGTTCAAGTGAAACAAGCAACAATAAACAATTATACTGACACTACCTTATCAACAACATAAAAACAACAGCGTTAAGTGAATTGACTTTCTGCAAGGACTTACTGCTGTTAACATCCCATGAAAGACAAAAAAAAAGTGCTGTAGTCATGTTTGAACCAGTATTCTTCGAGCAAGGATGTTATCAACTGCGCCTATTGACGTGCAAACATAGTTGCATTTTGTTTCTGGAGTTTTTTTAATATCTGGGAAACTACTTATTTGAGCTATTTCAACAACAGTAAGAGTATATCATTCTCTTTGTCTAAGCATAAAAGTGAGCGCTTTACGAGTAGCGGATACTTAGGTCAAAGCAAGATATTCTGAATGCTAAAATCTGAAACTCAGCGGATCTGGCTGCCTCTGTGAAGAGAGAAAGAGTTAATGCCCAGTTAATGATTCCCATTCAGAATAGTAGGGGTGTTCTCCCCATGTGAAGTACAGAGTGCTTTAATAACACCCCTTTCTTTCACCATCACCAACCCAACTTAATGATAATTCATGCTTGCAATGTGTTTTTATCAGGGACCAGATGTCATTTCTGATGTGGTCAAAAGCAGGATCATTGCTTGCTGTTGGAACAACCAAAGGAAATCTGCTTGTCTATAGCTTACAGACCTCTCGCAAAGTTCCAGTCCTCGGTGAGTGAGTATCACTTATCTTGGTGCACTTTTCAGTAGACCCATCAAAATTTGAAACCTCTAAAAGCAATCAGTCTGAAGATTTGTTTTATATCACCTAACACATTTCCTATCAAAATTCTGAAATGTCATTATGTATGTGAACTCTTTAACATAGAATTCCCTTCGTCATGTAATTGGGATTAAGTCTTGGGTATGCTGAGAACTAACTCACTTCGGAAATGCAAACTTGATCTCAGCTAAGGGTTGTTTAGATTTTTAAGTTGAACTTCCCGGCTTTCATCAGGCAGCACTGCTGGATATCCTCCAATGAGCCGACTTGCTTGTGAGATTTTCCAGTCATTACAGCTCAGTTTCTAATTTGTACTTTTGAAATATGAAGCTCCATGTCAGGGCAGTAATCAAAGATCAAATCAGAACTGTTTTACTCTTGATTTTTCTTCCAAACCCTCCATCAACCCCTTACATGAAACAGTAGCTACATATGTTTAATGTGGAGCAGGAAATTATTTAGTACTGATTATCATTTATGGATAAACTTCAGGCAGCACATTGATGCATCATTTTGAAGTATCAGTGTAGGGACCTCCATTCCCAGTTCCTGACAGTAACAAGCCTGAGATTGCAGTGGAGAATTAAACTTATGTTTAATCCTGAATCCTCATCCCACAATGATAGGAAGAGCGTTATATTTCTAATTTGGGATAGCGTATGTGATAAGACCACAATTACACATCTCTAGGATTTGAGCTCTTCTATGATTGACAAATTTCTCTATCAATGATGGGGGAATCCCAGCACATTCGTGCATATGCTAGGTTGAAGCTTTTTGTTTTAATTCACTTGGGGCACATGGGGTTTGCTGGCTGGCCAGCATGTATTGCCCATTCCTCGCTGCCTTTGAGAACGTGGTGGTGAGCTGCCTTTTGAACCTCTGCAGTCCATGTGCTATATGTAGACCCACAATGCCCTTAGAGAGGGAATTCCAGGACTTTGACCCCGCATTAGTGAACGAATGACGATATATTTGCAAATCAGGTTGTTGAGTGGCTTGGAGGGGAACTTGAAGATGGTGGTGTTACCATGCAACTCCTGCCTTTGTCTTTCTGGATGGATGTGGTCATAGGTTTGGAAGGCGCTGTCTGAGCATCTTTGGCAAATGTCTGCAGTAGATGTTGTAGATAGTACAAATTACTGCTACTGAGCATTGCTGGTGGAGGGAGTAGATGTTTTTGGATGTGGTGCCAATCAAGCGGACTGCTCTGTCCTGGATGGTGTCCAGCTGCTTGAGTGTTGTTGGATCTGCAATCCAGGCAAGTGACAAATATTCCATCACCTGATTTGTGCCTTGTAGATGGTGGACAGGCTTTGGAGAATCAGGACGTGAGTTACTCGCCGCAGTATTCCTCGCCTCTAAACCTGAGATACTTGTGCACAGTATTTATTTGGTGAGTCCAGTTGAGTTTATCGTCACGGTAACCCCCAGGATGTTGATTGTGGAGGATTCAGTGATGGTAACACTATTAAGTGTCAAGGGGCAGTGTTTAGATTATCTCTTCTTGGAGATGGTCATTGCTTAGCATTTGTGTTGTGTGAGTGTTACTTGCCACATGTCAGCCCAAACTTAGATATTGTTTGAACCAATTTTTATCAATCACTACAAAGTCTCAAAGAAATGAAACCTGGGATCGACCTAAGCACTGGAAAAGACAACGGCAGAAACAGCCCTGTCGATCCTGCAAAGTCCTCCTCACTAACATCTGGGGGTCAGCACCAAAATTGGGAGAGCTGTCTCCCAGACCAGTCAAGCAACAGCCTGATATGGTCATAATCACCGCATCATACCTTACAGACAATATCCCAGACACCATCATCACCATCCCTTGATATGTCCTGTCCCACCGGCAGGACACACCTAGCAGAGGTGGCGGCAAAGTGGTATATAGTCGGACGGGTGTTGCTCTAGGAGTCCAAACATTGACTCCTGACTGCATGAAGTCTCATGGCTTCAGGTTAAATGTGGGCAAGGAAACTTCCTGCTGCTTACCACATACTGTCCTCCCTCAGCTGATGAACCGGTACTCCTCAATGTTGAACAACACTTAGAGGAAGCACTGAGGATGGCAAGGACACAAAATGTACTCTGGGTAGGGGATTTCAATGTCCACCACCAAGAGTGGCTTGGCAGCTGGTCGGATCCTAAAGGACATAGCTGCTAGACTGGGTCTGCGGCAGGTAGTGAGGGAACCAGCAAGAGGGAAAATCATACTTGACCTCATCCTTACTAATCTGTCAGCTGCAGTTGCATCTGTCCATGACTGTATTGGTAAGAGTGACCATCGTACAGTCCTTGTGGAGATGAAGTCCCGCCTTCACATTGAAAATAACTTCCATCGTGTTGTGTGGCACTATCACTGTGCTAAATGGGACAGACTTCGCACAGATCTAGCAACTCAAGACTGGGCATCCATGAGGTGCTGTGGGCCAACAACAGCAGAAGAATTGTACTCCAGCGCAATCTGCAACCTCATGGCCTGGCATATTCCCCACTCAACCATTACCATCAAGCCAGGGAATCAACCCTGGTTCAATGGAGAGCATGCCAGGAGCAGCACCAGGCACACCTGAAGATGAGCTATCAACCTGTTGAAGCCACCAAACAGGACTACTTGCCTGCCAAACAGCGAATGCAGAAAGTGATAGATAGACCTAAGTGATCCCACAACCAACAGATAAAATCTAAGCTGTGCAGTCCTGCCACATCCAGTTATGAATGGTAGTGGACAATTAAACAACTCCTCAATGATGGAAGAGCCCAGTACATCAGTGCAAAAGATAAGGCTGAAGCATTCGTAGCACTCTTCAGCCAGAAGTGCAGAACGGGTGATCCATCTCAGCCTCCTCCGGTGGTCCCCAGCATTACAGATACCAGTCTTCAGCCAATTCGATTCAAGAAGCAGTTGGAGACACTGCACACTGCAAAGGCTATGGGCCCTGACAACATTCCAGCAATAGTACTGAAGACTAGTGTTCCAGAACTTGCCGCTCCCCTAGCCAAGCTGTTCCAGTACAGTTACAACATGATATCTACCCGACAATGTGGAAAATTGCCCAAGTATGTCCTGCACACAAAAAACAGAACAAATCCAACCTGGCCAATTTCCGCCCCATCAGTCTACTCTCGATCATCAGTGAAGTGATGGAAAGTGTTATTAACAGTGCTATCAAGCAGCGCTTGCTCAGAAATAACCTGCTCAGTGACACCCTGTTTGGGTTCCCCGGGACCACTCAGACCATTACAGCCTTGGTTCAAACATGGATAAAAGAGCTGAATTCCAGAGATGAGGTGAGAGTGACAGCCATTTATATCAAGGCTGCATTTGACCAAGTGTGGCATCAAGGAGCCCTAGCAAAACTGGAATCAATGGGTATCAGGGAGCAAACGCTCCGGTGGTTGGAGTCATACTTGACACATGGGAAGATGGTCATGGTTGTTGGAGGTTAATCATCTCAGCTCCAGGACACCGCTGCAGGAGTGCCTCAGGGTAATGTCCCAGGCCCAACTGTCTTTAGCTGCTTCATCAATGACCTTCCCTCCATCATAAAGTCAGAACTGAGAATGTTCACTGATGATTGCACAATGTTCAGCACCACTCGTGACTCCTCAGATACTGAAGCAGTCCATGTTCAAATGCAACAAGATCTGGACAATATCCAGGCTTGGGCTGACAAGTGGTAAGTGAAATTCGTGCCACGCAAATGCTAGGCTATGACCATCACCAATAAGAAACAGTTTAACCACTGCCGCTTGACATTCAATGGTGTTACCATCACTGAATCCTCCACTATCAACATCCTGGGGGTTATGATTGACCAGAGACTCAACTGGACTCACCACATTAAACCCAGTTAGCTACAAGAACCTGCCAGAAGCTAGGAATACTGCGTTGAGTAACCTCCTGACTCCTCAAAGCCTGTCCACCATCTACAAAGCACAAGTCAGGAGTGTGATGGAATACTCCCCATTTGCTGGATGAGTGCAGTACTGAAGAAGCTTGACACCATCCAGGACAAAGCAGCCCACTTGATTGACACTACATCCACAAGCATCCACTCCCTCCATCACTGACGCTCAGTAGCAACAGCGTGTACTGTGTACAAGATGCACTGCAGAAAGTCACCAAAGATCCTCAGACAGCACCTTCCAAACCCACAACCACTTCCACCTAGAAGGACAAGGGTGGCAGACATATGGGAACACCAAATTCCCCTCCAAGCCACTCACCATCCTGACGTGGAAATATATTACCGTTCCTTCACTGTTGCTGGGTCAAAATCCTGGAATTCCCTCCTTAATAGCATTGTGGGTCAACATATAGCAGGAGGACTGCAGTGGTTCAAGAAGGCGGCTCACCACCACCTTCTCAAGGGCAACTAGGAATGGGCAAGAAATCTGGCCAGCCAATGACACCCACATACCACAAATGAATAGAAAAAAAAACATGGACTGCTTCAGTACCTGAGGAGCCATGAATAGTGCTGAACCATCTTTAACTTAAAAGGGTGAGTGGATGATCTGTCTCAGACTTCTGAGATCCCCAGCATCACAGTTGTCAGCCTTTAAACAATTCCGTTTACTGCATCTGATATCAAAACACGGGATACAGCAAAAGCCATTGGCCCTAATAACATTCCTGCAAAAAGACCAAAGACTTATGCTGCAGAACCAGAGGTGCCCCTGGCAAGTTATTCCAGTGCTATAACACTCATACAACAAAGCACAACACTCACAACCTAACAATGTGGAAAATTGCCTCGGGGCCAATGTGGAGCAAAAGAAAAACTATCTAGCACAAAAAAAGATAGTTTTGGCTGTTTGAGGTCTACCATCTCTGTCTAAGAACATCATGGCAGGAGTGCCTTAGGGCAGTACCCTCAGTTCAGTCATCTTCAGCCTTTTCATCAGTGATCTTCCTTCCACCATGATGTCAGGTGGGAATGTTTGCTGATAATTGCATAATTTTCAGCACTTTCCTCAACTCATCAGGTACTGTAACAGTCCACGTGCAAATGCAGCAATACCTGGATAACATACAAGCTTGGACTGATTGGTGGCAGGTAGCATTCACAATGACTAAATGCCAGGTAATGGTCATCACCAACAAGAGAGAAGTCAGCCAGTGTCCTTTAACGTTCAATCGATTGTTATCACTGAAACCCCTCTGTCAACATCCTGGGGGTTACAGTTGACCAGAAACTGAGCTAGTCTAGCCATATAAATACTGTGGCTACTGGAGCAAATCAGAGGTTAGGAATCCTGTAGTGAGTAATTCCCACCTTGTCTTCCCAATGCCTATCCACCATCTACAAGGCACAAGGCAGGTATGTCATAAAATACTACCTACCTGCTTGAATGGGTGCAGCTCACCAACATTCAAAAAGTTTGACATCACCTGAGACATACTATCCTGCTTGAATGACACCCATCCTCTATCTTCAGCATTCACTCCCTTCATCACTGCTGCATTGTAGCAGCACTGCATACCATCTCTGAGGTACATTGCAGTAATTCACCAAGGCTACTTTCAAAGCACCTTCCAAACCTGAAAACTGCATAACCTAGAAAGACCAGGCAGCAAATGCATGGGAATGCCACCACTTGCAAGTTGCACATCTTGCTGTCTTGGAACTTTACCACAGTTCCTTAACTGCTGCAGGGTCAAAATCTGGAACTCCCTTCCTAACACATATTATGTATCCTACACTCCAGGGACTGCTGTGTTGCAAGAAGGCGGATCACGACCAACTTCTCCCAGACAGTCATGTTTGGGAAATAAATGATAGCTTGGTAAGGGGAGGCAATGGCCGAGTGGTATTATCGCTGGACTGTTAATCCAGAGACCCGGATAACATCTGGGAACCTGGATTCGAATCCCACCATGGCAGATGGTGGAATTTTTATTCAATAAAAATATCTAGAATTAAGAATCTAATGATGACCATGAATCTATTGTTGATTGTCAGTTCAGTAATGTCCTTTAGGGAAGGAAACTGCTATCCTTACCTGGTCTGGCCTACGTGTGACTCCAGACCCACAAAAATGTGGTTGACTCTGAACTGCCCTCTGGGCAATTAGGGATGGACAATAAATGTTGCCTAGCTAGCGACATCCTCAAGTGCTTTCATGCCAGTGAGTTGTTCATTTTATAGCATGATTATAACTTGCTATGCCGGTTGTGAGTTCCTCAAATGCTTCTGAGAGATACAAAGCTGTGAATGATAAAGTCAGGATGAGACTAAAAAATGAAGGAATACGTACTGTGAATGTAGACTTCATCTGTTTGAATTTTACAGCCCGAGTGGTTTGGGAATTGCAGAATTCAATGTTATTCCCTCAAGAAGGGAGCAGCTTTTCATGTTCCATGTTATTTTCCTGGCTTTCTTTAATTAAGGTGATGCTGACATTGGCACCTTGTGGTCTAGTCCTGTTCTGCCAACCCTTACAATCATTAGTCTGAGCAATTTACAAGTAAAGTCCCAAAGTGAAATGATAGTATGTAAAATCGTTCTTTCACTGAGTTGGTGTCTTGTATTCATTCCAGCAGGAATTAATCTTTCACTTCTTCCTCATCAACATCTCAGGGAAACACACAAAACGGATTACTTGTGGTTGCTGGAGTACCCAGAACCTGCTTGCATTGGGTAGCGAAGACAAGACGATCACTGTCAGCAACCAAGAGGGAGATACCATCAGACAGGTGAGTGAGGAAACATTCCAGACTTTGTCATTTGCTGCCATTTTAAATACTGCTGATCATTTAAAATGGACTAAATGACATTAAAATAATCCAAGTCAGAAAAGCTAAAAGTCTACAGAACTTTTGCACAAAATTTGTCTCGTAAGACAGGGTAGCTTCAGAGAAGTTGTTTCCCCCTGTGGGAGAGCCTAAGATCAGAGGGTGTCATCGCGGAGTAAGGGGGTGACATTTCAAACAGAAATAAGGATATTTTCCTCTTTGAGGGTAGTGAAACTGTGGAATTCTTTACCACAGAGGACTACTTGGCTAGCTAATTAAATGTATCCAAGGCTGAGATCAACAGTAAGGAAATCAAGGATTTCTTGAGGAAGGATATACTGGCTTTGAAAGCAGTGCAGAGGAGGTTCATCAGTCTAATTCCGGAGATGAGAGGTTATACTATGAGGAGATGTTGAGCCGCCTGGGATTGTACTTTTTAGAATTTAGAAAAATGAGAGGTGATCTTATAGAAACATAAAATTATGAAAGGGATAGATAAGATAGAGGCAGGCAAATTATTTCCACTGGTGGGAGAGACTAGGACTAGGGGACATAGCCTCAAGATTAGGTGAATAGATTTAGGACAGAGATGAGGAGGAACTGCTTTTCCCATTGAGTGGTGAATCTATGAAATTCTCTGCCCAAGGAAGCAGTAGAGGCAGCTTCATTAAATATATTTAAGACATAGTTGGATAGATTTTTGCATGGTAGGGGCCAATGCAGGTGGGAGGAGCTGAGACCACGGATCGATCAGCCATGATCTTATTGAATGGCGGTGCAGGCTCGACGAGCCAAATGGCCTACTCCTGCTTCTATGTCTTATGAACTTCTGGGGATAAGACAGGAAAGTGGAGTTGAGGTGTAACAGGACGACTGTGATCCCATTGAATTGTGGACCAGACTTGATGGGCTGAATGGCCGACTTCTGCTCCTGTGTCCTGTGTCTTGGGGTCTTAAGATTTATAATGGGAGTTCAGAATTTATTCAAAGAAATGCATCATTTGAATTACTTTTAAAATGTAATTAACATGTCCAAGTAAATTCTGAATTTGAAGTGACCTAATTTGAACATATTTGGATTAATGTGATGAAGATACTGTTTGGGCCACTATCATTTACCATATACCAGATTCTAGTGGTCTATTTTAAAAATGGTGACCGTCTTCTCTCGATCATCTGTAAAGTGCTGCTTAGTGTCATCAATGAAGCTATCCAGCAGCACTTGCTTACAAATAAGCTGCTCACTGATGTTCAGTTTGGGTTCCGCCAGACCCAATCAGCTCCTGACCTCATTATAGTCTTAGTTCAAACATGGGTAAAAGAGCTAAATTCCAGAGGTGAGGTAAGAATGACTGTCCTTAATACCAAAGCCACATTTGACCAAGTATGGCATCAAGAAACCCTAGCAAAACTGGAGACATTGGGAATTGAGGTGGTGGGGTGGGGGTTTTGGGGGGTGGGGTGGGGAAGAGGAATGGTGTTGGGGGGGCAACACTGTACTGGTTGGAGTCATTCTTGGCAGAAAGGAAGGTGGTTGTGGTTCTTGAAGCTGAGATGACTGACCTCCATGACATGACTGTGGGTGTTCTAAGGGTATATGTATTTTTTAAAGCAACCTGTTCAGATGCATTTTGACACCTGTAAAGCACATGGGTTTTAGACCCAGCCTCCAGGCTCAGAGACAGGAACACTAATACTGCATTAATAGAGCCCGGAGTTAGTCAGGGTAGTGTCCCAGGTGCAATTATCTTCTGCTACTTCATCAATGGCCTTCCATCCATCATAAGAGCAGAAGTGGGGATTTTTGCTGTTCATTGAGCAATGTTTAGCACTATTCACGACTCCTGAAATACTGAAGCACTCCATATTCAAATTCAGCCAGACCTGGACAATATCCAGGCTTGGACTGACAAGTGGCAGGGAACATTCATGCCCCTAGATGTGAGGCAGTGACCATCTTCAAAAGGAGAGGATCTAACCCTTGACATTCAATGACATTATCACCACTGAATCCCCACTATCAATATCCTGGGGGTTACCATTGACCAGAAACTCAACTGGACTATCCATATACACGTACAGGATATACTGTGGCTACAAAAGCAGAGGCTAGGAATACCACAGTGAGTAACTCACATCCTGACTCCGTAAACCCCATTAACCATCTATAAAGCACAAGTCAGGAGTGTGATGGAATATTCCCCAACAACACTCAAGAAGCTTGACACCATCTGAACAAAGCAACCCTTTTGATTGGCACCACATTCCCAAACTTACATTCCCTCTAATGTCCAGTAGCAGCAGTGTGTACAATGTACAAAACATGCTACGGAAATTCGCCGAGGCTCCTTAGATAGTGTCTTCCAGATCCACAACAATATCACCTAAAAGGATAAGGGCAGAAGATACATGGGAACACCAGCAATTACAGATTCTCTTCCTAGTCAAGATTTTAAAAGTTAGTTATAACATAACAAAATACCCCTTATCTCGTTACATAACAACTTCCGTAAGTTTCCGGTGAAAATCTGTCACGTATGGTTAGATTTTTAGTTTTGATGTTTTTGCCTTATATAGTGGTTTTGGTTGTCATTAGCTGATTCTTACATAATTCCTGACATAAGCTTTCAACTTTATCTAGAATGGCATGATGTCCACTCTAAAGTGATGTGGGGAGCAGAAAAAATTGAGATGGTTCTTAAAATATAGGCGATAGTAGGGATATTTAATGTTTACAATTATTAAGGGCCTGGATAGAGTAGTTTGGTGTATACTTTCTTCACTTCATGTTTCGTATGGAAACACATCCGATATCAATACTGTTATGATCTCCATGGTGGCCAATATCTTAAAAAAAGTACATTTACCAAAAGACCTTATTAGATGTTTCAGAGATAGTAGGAACTGCAGATATTAGATGTGACTGATTTCACGTTTTATAGCTTTTACTTTAACCATCAAGCCAAAACCAACAACTTAAACTTGAATAATAGGCAAATTGTTTTCATATTCTTATGGATGTACCGTCTGTTCCCTTAGCACATATGACACCACATCCAACCACAAAATCCTTCCCTTGGGTAGAGTTCCAGTTCATATCTCCAGGGACACTTTATCCACCCAATCCTCCTCTGAATTTGAGTCCCCGATAGTCTTCACTAAGATTGCCAGCTGTGCGTAATCAGACCCCAATAAACTGATGGCTCAAAAAGAAAGAAATGGTTCATATCAAAGCACCATTACAGAGATGTGGTTATATGATGATCGAGATTAGGAAAATAAATACTTAGAGTACACTGTATTTCACAAAAACATTCAGAATGGCAAAAGAAGAGGGTTAGCCCTGATAGTAAAGGGTGACGTAAGATCATGAAATAGAATCAGTGTGGATCAAAATTATTGATAGTAATTGTCAGAAAAAAGCTAGTTGGAGCAATTTATAGGTGCTCTTACAACACTTTTACCATTGAGCAGAACATTAAACAAGAAATTGTTGAAGCTTGTTTTTTAAAAAAAGCAGTGTGTTAATTGTGAGAGACTTTAATCAACATGTATGTTTGCCACTTGGTGAAGGTTGTCTAGAAAATGGTCTGTGAAATGTTTGTGTGACATTTAGTGAATTGCCTCATAATGTTGCGAAAGATAGTAGTAGGTCCGAGAATTTGGAGTGTTTTAGAAATAGCAAAAAGCCACCACCAAAGACTTGATAAAACGGGAAAAATTAAACTAACAGAATAAACTAGCAAGCAATAAAAAAAAGTAGGAGTTTTACAGGTGTATATAAAGGAAGAGAGTAGCTAAAGTAAACATTGGTCCCTTAGAAGCAGAGATAGAAGAAATTGTCATGGAGAATGACAAAATGGTGAAGACAATAAACAAGTATTCTGTGTCTACTGTGACATCCGTATTGATACCAAGATCCTTGTGTATAAGGCAGTCATCCTTCCAACTCTTCCATATGGCTCCAAAACTGGGACTATGTAGAAACACCACTTCAAGGCTCTGCATAAGTACCATCAAGGCTCTTTGAGAGATAAGAACGGACTGAGGGTAGATAATTGGAGTTCACCAAAAGGTTATAGTGCCGGAGTGTTAAGACAGGCCAAGACAGGTTACAATTAGATAAATATGAATGGATCTGACAAGTCCAGAGCTTAGCTGGACAACATTGGAGAGGTATTGGATGTGAATGATGTACTTTGTTAAACTATCGAAGCTACTTGATCTTTATAGCCATTTGGCACATTATAATCCAACTAATGAAAGGAAGGGATCCTTTTATGCTAGTAATGATGATCTATTAAAAAGACTACTGTTGTTCGTCGAACGAACACTGCTGCAGAATCTGAACAGGTTGATTAAAAATATCAAGTTTATATAGTCTGTAGCTAAGATGTACAAAGGAGAATGATTTCAGCCTAAATCACAGGTTTGTATGTTGCCATTGGTTCTTTTGCCCTTCACCTTAAATCAGTGCCATGTGGTTCTCATGTCAACCCTCTGTCCATTAGAACAATTACTCACTATCTACCCTGTCTAGACCCTTTCAAGTTAAATCCAGTTTTGATTGTTTAATGATGTTCCACATATTCTCTGTTTTGTTTTCTTTTGTCTCAACTATTTCTGTTTCAACAGACCACAGTGAGAGCAGAACCAAGTGACATACAGTTCTCAATGATGAAGACAGATGAACGGGCACCAGCTGGAGAAAGCACAGTGAGTTTGCAGGAAGATCTGATTCAAAAGCGTATTGCAAGTATTTTCAAACAAATAAGCCATTCAGAAAGCAGCCAATGAGGTTGTTATGAAGTTGAACCTTTAGGAAGGTACATAGAACATAAGAAAAACATTGAGGCTGCCTTCTTATTTCATTTGGAGGGGCACTGCACCATCTGAAATGTGGTGAGGGAGAATTTCCAAAACTTAGAGTGGAGCTATTAACAAGAGGAGGCAATGTGCTTATACATTTTGTGGGACTTTGTGTATCTCACTCATAGGAGGTCAACAGAATCAAGATGGCACATTGATAGTCAATCTGGGGTTAAGCCATTGGCTCTAATTCACTCATTGGGCGTGAGTTTCACTGACTGCATTTATTGCCTATCCGTAGTTGCCTTTAAGAACGTAGAGTTGAACTATATTCTTGAGCCGCTGCAGTCTGTGTGCTATAGGTAGACCCACAGTGTTGTTAGGGAGAAAATTCCAGCAGTTTGACCAAATGATACTGAAGGAATGGCGGTGGTTTGGAGGGAAAGTTGCAGGTGTGGTAGTATTCCCATGTATCTGCAGCCTTTGCCCTTCAAGATTGAAGTGGTTTTAAGTTTGGAAGATGCTGTCTAAGGAGTTTTGGTGAATTTTTGCTGTACATCTTATAGAAGGTACACTGATCGTCGATGTTGGAGCACGTGGATGTTTGTGGATGTGATGTCATTCAAGCAGGCTGCTTTGTCCTGAATGGTGTCAAGCTACTCGAGTGTTGTTGGAGCTGCACTTTTCCAGGCAAATGAGGACTATTCCAGCACACTCCTGACTTGTCCCTTGTAGATGGTCAGGATGTTATTTACTCACTAGGATTCCAAGCATCTGACCTGCTTTAGTAGCCTCTATGGCTATCCAGTTCAGTTTCTGATCAATAGAGACCCCCATGATACTGTTAGTGACTCCATTGAATGTCAAGGGACAATGGTTAAATTATCTTTTATGGTCATTGGTTGGCATTTGTGTGGTGTGAAGGTTACTTACCAATTTTCAGCCCATTTGGACAATTTGGACAAAGACTGCTTCTGTATCTGAGGAGTCGCGAATGATTCTGAATATTGTACAGTCATTGGCAAACATCCTGACCTGATGGAGCGAAGGTTGTTGATGAAGCAGCTGAAGCTGGTTGGATCCAGGACACTACCCTGAGGAACTCCTACATAGATATCCTAGAGCTGAGATGATTGACCTCCAACAATCATAACCATCTTCCTTTGAGTTAGGTATGACGACAAATAACAAAAAATTTTCCCCTGAATCCCATTGACTCCAATTTTGCTAGGGCTGTTTGATGCTTAACTCAGCCTCGATGTCAAGGCAGTCATTCTTGCTGTACCTCTGGAATCCAGCTCTTTTGCTCATTTTTGAGCCAAGGCTGCAATGAGTCGGGAGCTGAATGACTTTGGCAGATCTCAAACTGGATATCATTATGCAAGTCATTGCTAAGCAGGTGCTGCTTGATAGTGCAGTTGATGACACTTCCATCATTTCACTGATAAACAAGAGTAGACTGGTGGGGCAGTAATTTGCTGGGTTGAATTTGTTCTGCTTTTTGTGTTCAGGGCATAACTGGGCAATTTTCCACATTATCAGGTAGATGCCAATGTTGTAGTTCGACTGGAACAGCTTGAGAGCTACACATTCTGGAACACAAGTCTTCTGTGCTATTGCTGTGTATTGCCAGGACCCATGGCCTTTGTCGCATCCAGTGACTCTAAAAGTTTCTTGACATTACATGGTGATTTGAATGGTCTGAAGACTGGAATTTGTAATTCTGGGGACCTCTAGAGGAAGCTGAGATGGATCACCCACTCAGCATTTGGCTGAAAATTATTGAGAACACTTCAGTTTTATCTTTTGCACTGCAGTTCTGGGCTCACCTATCATTGAGGTTAGTCTGGCTGCCTCCTCTAGTGAATTGTTTAATTGTCCACCACAATTCATGACTGAATGTAGCAGGAGTGCAGAGTTTAAATCTGATTCATTGATTGTGGAGTCGCTTTGCTCTGTGTATCACTTGCTGCTTATGCTGGTTGTCATGAAAGTAGTCCTGTTTTGTGCTTCACGAGATTGACACTTAATTTTTAGATTTGCCTGGTACTACTCAGAGGCCCTCCTGTACTCTTCATTAAAGCATCTTTGCCTGTGATGGTGGAATGGGAGATATGCTGGGTCATGAGTTTACAGATTGCAGTAGAGTGTGATTCATCTACTGTTGATGACCCTCAGAGCCTCATGCATGCTCAGTCTTGAGTTGCTAGGCCTGTTTAAAATCTGTCCATGTGGCACAGCGATAATGCCACACATGAGGTAAGGTATTCTCAGTTTGAAGGTAAGACTTGGTCTCCACAAGGACTGTGCGACGATCAGCGGGTCAGACAGCAACCATAGAGAGAGAGCAAGCTAACTTTTCGAGTCTAGATGACTCTTCATCAGAGCTGAAGTGAAGTGAGTCGAAACGTTAGCTTGCTGTCTCTCCGTGGATGCTGTCTGACCCGCAGTGATCTCCAGCATTTCTTTTCAGTACAGATTCCAGTATCTGCAGTAATTTGCTCCTACAAGTATAATTAACTAACTGTCAAGAGTTAAAAACCTTGGCCAACTTTGGAATGGGCAAAGAGGCAGAACTTGCATTTGTAATATACTGGCTGGGATGACTAAATTTAGCACAGAGTACAGACCAACCCTATGTCTTTCTGGTCTGTATGGCTAAGCTATCAAAACAGGTTTTCTTAAACTATTTGCTCAAAGATTTTGCAATAATTGTTCTAAAAATAGTTTTAATTTTTTTTATGAAACATACTCTGAGAAGGTTATGTGGATTTAAACATTTCATCTTCTTGCCTATTTATTACTAGGTAAGTGCAATTGTGGGCAAGAAAACTCTATTCCTGTTTAATTTGAGCGATCCTGATAATCCTATTGAGTTGGCATTCCAGCAACGCTACGGCAGCATCATATCTTATAGATGGTAGGTTCAATTAAGTGACAAAATAGTTATATTTACATTTCAAATATGTTTTAGTTTTTCTAATGTTTAGAAATGCAAAAGAGTTCATGCAAAATCAGAATCTGCTGAATTGGCACAGAATTGTCGCAGATTTAATGACGGTTTTGAAGTCCAAGGGATTCTCTCGCCGTCCTGGCAAACCACATGAGGCCATTAAAATTGTGAACATTTTCTTTGTTAGCCTGGTTATTAAGACAGTCTGAACATTTTATACTGTTTTGGCAAAAGCTGCACAAAAAACCCTAGATTTCTAAATAGATGATAAAATTGTGATATTTTCTTCAGCCTGTTGTCAGCAATTTGGTCAGCTGCACCTGAGAGAGAGTTTCAAAAGAGAGAGACAAAACTTGAAACTTAAGAATTCAAGATGTGCTGCCTGCATTTCGACTTTTATCACTGACCTTGATCTGGTATTCTCCGATTGCTATTTCAATTAACATGAAGTCCAGTGTTTGATACGTAAACCAGAACTTGCTTGCACTTTTTACTATGATGAGCATTTAAATAACATCTTGGAACTGTAAAATGCTCTGATGCGCAAAATAATATTGACTGTTTCAATTAATGCTTATTGTTTTCATTTTTGTCTTGTTACGTAGCTGGAGAGAGCCACCTTTACCCATCTCACATTTCAATCAATATATAGATTACAATCTCTCATTCGTAGGACATCCAAACTCTGCTAGGAGCGGAACAATCATTTGATGTAATCACTTCACACAAAGGATTCTGGCTAAAAGAATTCACCCATCAATAACCTAATCAAGTTATAGCTGCAATCTACTAGGCACAGCTATATTTAGTTACTGGTCAGTTGGAGAGAACAGATCATGTGATGAGCCAGCTAATGCTCTTTGTGTTTGAGAAACCTTTTCCAGGCCAGTGGAGTCAACCAGAGAGCAGGCTATTCTAGATAGTTATTGTGCAACGAGATAGGATTAATTAATGATCTCATAATGAAGTCGCCCCTAAGTAAGAGCACCCATAAAATGTTTGAAATTTGCATTCAGTTTGAGGGGAAGAGGAGTGGATCTGAGACTATTTTTGTATAATGGCTGACATTGAAGGGGATATTTCAGTATGCACAGACCAGACACGTTCTAATGAATAAGAAAACTCCGTGGTTAAGTAGAAAGGTTAAAGTTGGTATCAAATTTGTAAAAACATATGATTGTGAAAAGACAGGTGGCAGGTAAGAAAATCGGATGGAATGTAAAAACAGCAAAGATTGACTAAAATAGTTGGAGGAGGGAAAATTGGAGTACGAGGAAAAACTAATTAGAACTATAAAAACAAATAGGAAGAGTTTCTATAGATACTTTTAAAAAAAGAGTTAACGATCCTTTAGAATATTCGTCTGAAACGTTGACTATGGAAAATAAAGGTCAGAAATCACATGGCACCAGGTTATAGTCCAACAGATTTATTTGAAAACACAAGCTTTCGGAGTGTCGCCCCTTCATCAGGTGAAGTGAGAAAGAAGCACACAGAACACAGAATTTATAAGTAAAAGATCAAAAGGTCACACAACTGTTGAGGGTGTATTAAACAAACCTAAGGTGCGGATAAATCTTTAATCAGTTCCAAAGTTTTAATTGATTAATATGTATATGTAAATCCCTGAATTTCTTTCAAGGTTTCTTCCATAGGTTTCTGTCTGTGTCTGTGTCCGTGTGTGTGTCTGTGCACGCGCGCGCGCTCTCTCGTGCACATACACGTGTAAATCTATGGGATGAATTTATATTTGCGGATATATTCTACTTTGTTTGAAAAGCACACAATTTATAGACAGTCAGGCAATGTGGCATTTTATAAGTTCGTACTTTAGAAATAAAACCAGTCTGACTCCAAACCAAAACACAAACAGATTCTAAACAAGGCCCCACATCCAGCATGCATTGCCTGACCTAAAATGTCACCTCCTCTTTACACTGATAAAACCTTTACTTCTCTCAGGGCAGTGACTTGAAAGAAATTCAGGGATTTACATATACATAATAATTAAAACCTTCTAACTGATCAAAGATTTAACCACATCTCAGGTTTGGTTAATACACCCTTATCAGTTGTGTGACCTTTTGATCTCTTACTTATAAATTCTGTGTTCTTCATTCTCACTTCACCTGATGAAGGGGCTATACTCCAAAAGCTTGTGTTTTCAAATAAACCTGTTGGACTATAACCTGGTGTTGTGAAATTTCTGACCGTGTCCACTCCAGTCCCAACACTGGCACCTCCACATCATGGAAAATAAAGAGATGGCACATAAGTTGATCAGGTATTTCCAATAGTATTCACTATAGAGAATACAAGTAATATCCTAAAAGCTGCTATAAGTCAGGTAATAAAAGGGAGGAGGGAGCTTTGTAAAATGATATCACCAGAGAAGTGGTACTAAGTAATTTGTTGAATGTTTGGACAGACATATGCCTAGTTTGAGAGTCTTTAGAACCGTATTCCTGAAAAGGCAATGGAAACACAGTCTTTAAATATTTTTAAACCAGAGATTGATAAATGGATTATTGGTAAGAAAGGGATAAAGGTTTATCAGGGACAGGTTCCTGGTTTGATTAAGATCAGCCATGGTCTTATTAGGGGAGGCAATGGCCTTGTGATATTACCACTGAACTGTTAATCCAGAGACCCAATTGATGTTCTGGGGATCCAGGTTCGAATCCTGCCATGGCAGATGGTGGAATTTGAATTCAATATAATATATCTGGAATTAAGAATCTAATGATGACCATGAATCCATTGTCGATTGTCGGAAAAACGAATCTGGTTCACTAATGTCCTTTAGGGAGGGAAACTGCCATCCTTACCTGGTCTGGCCTACGTGTGACTCCAGACCCATAACAATGTGATTGACTCTGAACCGCTCTCCGTTCAATTAGGGATGGGCAATAAATGCTGCCTAGCCAGCAATGCCCTCATCGCATTAATGAATAAAAAATAATTAACTGGCAGAGCAGAGTCAAATAGTTGCTGTTGCTCTTTATTCGTGTGAATGGTGACAGGAGGTATAGTTCATGTGCATTGTTTGATTGTCTGCAGACAGGTTTGCTAAATGGCTTTGGAATTTGTCGTGTACAGTCATGGAAATATTAGGCCATAATAGGAGCTGTGGTCTCAAATCACTGGAATCCTGTTTTAGTTTTTATAATTCAATCCATTGTTTTCAGCTGATAAATACATAATTGTTATTTTAAAGCATAACTTTATGTCAAGCTTATTTATAGCATGTTGAATACAATAATTATAATTGAGTAATACTGTAGCTTTTGTTCTTTTTCAGGTATGGCGATGGGTACATTATGATTGGGTTTTCTCAGGGCTACTTCGTAGTAATTTCTACACATATTCGTGAGATTGGTCAGGAACTGTTCCAAGCTCACAACCATAAAGACAATTTGACAAGTATTGCCATCTCTCAATCTCTGAACAAAGCTGCTTCTTGTGGAGACAATTGGTATGTTATGTTGTAACTCTGCTTATTTATTCATCGTAGCTACGGCATGAAGTCTATCCATGCACACATTCCATACTTACAATAAAATTAATAATGCTTTAATGCCAAAAGAATAGAGACTTTTTAAGCTTATGCTTTTGATAATTTGGAAAACAGGGAAGACATTAAAAAATATTTTAGGTGAATGGTATAGCTGTGGTGAAATGTCCGAAATACCTGAACATCCAATAGGCCTTTCTAGAACATGTAATTTCTCAATAGTGTTTCAATATTGCTCCCCACCTTTTGTTCATTATCAAAAACTTAACTGTTTGTTCTTGTGTTCATTTTCAAAGTTCCATGGCTGTTTAATTAAGGAACATCTGTTATCCATGACAGTGTAAACCTTTACAGAAAGGTTAGAAATGGAGGTCAGGCCTTTTGGTGCATGATTGATCGTTTGCAATTGAGCAGTGAAATAGGATAAAACACAAAAACAGTGGAGAAGATGATGAGCTGATTGATGGTTTGTCCCCTTTACCGTCAGACCTGATTGCTTGAAGGTGCTCTGGATTTGGTTTACAGGGGCTAGTATGAGCACCAAAAACTGGGAAGATCACATAAATGTGGTACACAAAAACTGGGCATATGGGAATGACACTCCCTCTTCTCTTGTGGGTAAAAGCCTGGGCATCAGCTGCTAGCTAGTTTTGGTGTTGCATTGTCTGGGCACTGTGTCACCCATGCCCTATTCATACATCTGTCATACATGACGGACATTGAAACATCCTGCTCTTTACCTCAGCATCAAGAAAGAACCATGTCAGAAGGGGAATGATGTACAGATCTCTAGATAAAAGGCTTAATTGTGCTTAACATCACCCACATCCTGATGCCCACTTTTCTGTGTGACTGCATCAAGCTGTATGTAGAATCTCCTGATACTTGAACACCAAGTGTCTCTGTGTGCTGAGATTTTGACTGTCAATGGTGTTGTGAAGGATGAATCTGACTATTTGGTCGCAGAATGTTCTATTCAGTTTTACTGTGCCATACTGCCTATCTCTTAAAATGAGAAAACCCCTTCAGCAGACTGTCAAGGCCATTTGGAATTGAAAACGGTTTTCCCTATTAGCTCCTTCAAGATGGCGGTGATGGCAGGGGAGGAAGTGTTGGTACTCTGTGCCCATAAGCTCCTGCTCCCGCTCACCTGGCTGGCCATATTCTTCTTTGTTCTTTACTTTTTGTAGTTTCTTCATTTCTCTTTTGTATCAAGTTCACCTTTTCTGTGGCAGCGGTGAAGAAAGGCGGTTGCAGTGTGGTACATCCAGATGTCCCATCTTCATGGTCATATTGGCCGCAGCTTGATCAAAAGCTTCTTCGGGTGAGTCTGGCCTGTTCCTCCTGGCAGCAGTGTGGCAGTTTTAGCAGCGGTTCCAGTTCATTCCTTGTTGCAGTGGCAACATCTTGAGTGATGGCTTCAGCTTTGGCGGCTTTTTGGGTCCGGTCTGTCCCTTCTTGCTGTGGCAGTAATGCAGTTGCATCGATGTCGGCTTTGGTGGTGGCAGCGTGGTGGGTTTGGACTGGAAATTCTTGCTTTGGTGGCGGCGTCCTGTAGCCACTACAGAAACTTATGGAGGGAACAAAAGATGAGCTTTGTCCTAACTTTGTCTCAGTTTTTTCTTTTTATAATTTCTGTAATTAAAATGGTGCTGAATTGTGGTGACCTATACATATTTCACTGTATTTTCATTAAATACAAGTGACAATAAATTGCTATTTTATTCAATTCAATTCCTTCTGGCATGCCTGACATTCACACAAAGTGGGAAAGTGATTGTTGCCCACTCCTTTCTAGAATGTGCCTTTGAAAGCAGCTCTAGGAAGAGATTCACTAGATTTTGTTGAGTTTTGCCTGGAATTTCTTCATAATTGCGAACTCTGCTCTGCTATCTTTTCTTGAGGACCACAGCAAGATAAAGGTCACCAGCCATCAACTTAGTGAAAGAAACAAAAACAAAGATTGCTGGAAAAATTTAGCATCTGGCAGCATCTGTGGAGAGAAAGCAGAGTTAACCTTTCAGGTCCAGAGAACTATTCAGAAATATTAACTTGGTGAAAGACAGTGGTTTGGTCTGTCCAAAATGTGCTGGTTTTCTAGTGCAAAGAGCAGTCAACAACTGAGTGTTGCCAATAAGCACGTCCCAAGGTCCAAGCTTTAAAGCAGTGAGGAAAAAACACAGTCTGAACCCCACCTGCTATAATGCATTGAGCAGCTGGAAACTATGTAAAACCCCTCAGGCTGTAAGTTTGACCTGATGTGCAGCGTAAATCTCATGTAATTGCAGTTACATTTGTGGCATTTAAGAAAGTTACATGCTGTGTGGTAAGAAATTGAATGCCATTGAACTTTCTATAATGCCCAGTGTGAACTGTTGTGATACAGTTTTTTATGAATAAAGTATATCTTTTAGAAAAAAGTAGAGAAAGTGAAAGAAATAGCATGGATGAAAGGATTTTTTCCTTTGCAAAACATTGTCAATTTCTCTCAAGGATGGAATCCACTTCTCATCATAAATATCTGCATTCTTATGACAGATTTTCAGACTCATATGGAGCTCCTATTTTAAATGCTGTTCAGATGCTACAGTGAAATGACAAATCCATAATAACTTCTTGTTTTTCAGAGTAATTTTAATATTGCAAACTGATACCAACACTGTGTGGATTTAGAAAATCTGCTTTGGTTGCATTAAGTTCACTGTCCTCTAGATATTTCTTTAGAACCCAGTTAATGAAAAAATATTAATCATTATACTGTGATTTGCATTTCTTTATAGTAGATATGTGAATGCCATCTAGATAAAAGTAGAACTCGTGTATCAAAATGGAGCAAGAAATTGACTGGTAGTTAATAAGAAAATGGTATATATTTGTATTGGATTGGCCATAGTACTTCTGGAGCCAATAACTGCATTATTCTCAGACTTCAGTCAAACTTTCTTTCAAAAGAAACCCTGGATTTCTCAATATATTGAAAACTATAATAAATGTGCAACAGAAAAAGAAAATGGGTGTCTTGTGTAGAACGTGGTGTGTAATGTTCCTGTTATCCTGCATGAGTGTACAGTCCATATATGGTTGAAGTTTGGCACAGGAATCTTGTGATAGATTGCATTCATCTCACTGAGCAAGGGGGTAGTCTAATCAATTTATTAAGTTTATCTAGCTGTCATTTTTTTAAAATTTCAGAAATCGAGATAAATCGTTTCAATTCGCAAACATAATTTGTTTGAATTTTTCTTCAAATACTCAGTGTGCATGCCACTGCTTTTTAAAGAAGTTTTAATGATGCTTTTTTGTCGATTATTCCATTGAAGGGCATCTCTGTTTCTTCATTACATATAAATATCTCTTCTGATATAGTAACCCTAATATATTTTATTTGCCAGCATTAAGATCCATGATCTGTCAGAACTGAAAGAGATGTATGCTATTATAAACTTGGATGATGAAACTAAAGGTAATTGCTTTAAATAATATTGTGGGAAAACCTACCAGTTGTGACATTATCAGCACAGGCTGACATTTGGACAAATTTAGAATGCTCAGAGGTAGCGGTGATTCTTTGTAAATGCACATCATTTGTTTTATTTTACTTTTTTTTAAGTTTAAGAATTGTCAGGTTATGATAGTTCTCATAGATGTGATGTTGT